AATTATGGTTTTTGTTCTTATTCATTATACTTGTAAGTTAATTTGCTAGTTTGAATGATTGATCACCATTAAGGCTTGCATGTTTGCTAACTTGGTTTGAATTAAGAGTAGACACCATGTTTTAATTCGAATTGAACTATGAATAGAAAGAGTATGTATGGACATTCGACAACAGGGATTAGATACATACTTGGTTGTTTAAAATGTTCTTCTATGCTTAATGGATTCCTAATGCTTAATTTAGGTTAGACAACAAATGATCAAATTAGGGAATTAGGAATATAAGTTAGGACTAGACACCATGGCTTAATCATACTTTAGCTAGAATCAATCCGTTAATCTAAATTGAACTTGGGAACTTATTCGCTTGAGTTAGTTATTTTCTTTCTTCCTTGTTTTATGTTCCTTTGTTTTCATTTCTGTTTTGTGTAGGGAAACTGAATTGGATCATTCAATCACCAATCCCTATGGAATCAATCTCGCACTTACATATGCTAAACTACCAATGGCTCGTGCACTTGCGAGTATCAAAAGTTGAGGATGCAGCTGAATTCATTTTGGTGCAGCTGATCCGACGACAACAATCGGCTTTGATGAAAATAGTACTTGAAAACCCCTAAAGTGCTGACGTACATTAATGTAAACCGCGTGAAGTTTTGGAATCTGGAAAAGAAAAGGAGAATATGGGGATCTGAGAAAATATTGGGATCCTGCCATATTTCCATCTATAGATATTGCCTCTGCAAGGCCTGATTGGAGTAACTATGTTTCAACTAAACTTCCTTCCATTTTCTGAAAATTCAGCTTTTCTAAGACTTTCCTCGAAACCTTTTAAAATGGCTTCCTCTTCTTCTCGCCCAAATCATTTCGATTTAAATGTTACTCCCAAAACAACCTGTGACGCCAAAGTCTGGCGTCCATTCTTTGTATCCCAAAATCGTCATCTCACGGTTAATGATTATGTGATGATGAATGATACGATTGCTGCCATAGTAGCTGTTAAGCTCATAATTTCATACATATACATGCCCAATTTACTTACTTCTTTTGTTTAGTTTCTTAGAATTCTGAGTTATTTGCCTCTCTTTGTGTGTTTTGTAGGCCAATAGAGCAAGATAC